GAGCCTGTGGACTTGACCTCGATGTGTTAACCTTTGAACAGATGACCTCCATTCAGTATTTTCATATTTCTCATAGTTACCAGGGCAACAATGACAGCTTGATACATAAGTAGATGTAGGCGAGTACCATATGTTACATGAAATAGTATGTCCGACTCCCTATTGGTCTTGGTACCTTAGGTTTGGTACTTCCCAATCTGTTGACTGACACTGGGAGAGTACGCGGGTTTGCTACCAGGAATACAGCCCATCTGACAATCTGGGTAATGCAGAAGGCTGCAGTGTTGGGGAGTCTTCACATTCTCCGAAACGTTCTGGCAGCGCTTCCTGGGAGAACTCCCTTTCGCTGTCTGGGCTGCGTGTAGAGGGGGCAAGGGCCCAGAGCTGATGATGAGCCTAACCAGCCTGACTGTGCCAGGAACACCCAAACCCTCTTCGCTGCATTTTGATTTTTAATCTGTTAATAATAATAATAATAATAATAATAATAATAATAATAATAATAATAATAATAATATTAAGTATAATAATAATATTATTATTATTGTTGTTGTTGTTGTTGTTGTTATTATTATTATTATTTCTGATCATTTACACACTTTAATCTTGAACTCAGCGTTTAAGCACACATTGGAATAAGTCAGAGTCTGACTGCATGCCTGTTCACGAATATCATCGCCTCGATCCATCCAAGTGAACAAAACGAAGAAATGCACATCCAAACTATCGACTTCATCCTTGCCTAGACTGATAGTAACAGTCTACTGAAATCTATGAATTCACTTAGTATCTATTTGACATATCTTTGTAATCACCTTTCAATGATCGGCCAATTGATCAGTGATCGCTTACCAACAACTTGTAACCGCCACAGGTTCATTAACAACTTCTGAAATATCTCCCGTCACGTTTCTCGTGTCTGCCATTAGGCGTACTGTGCTATAGGTACATGTATCACGACGCGCTGTCCCTCTGGCTAGCCTAGTGGTTAAAGCGTTCGCTCGTCACGCCGAAGACCCGGGTTCGATTCCCGACATGGGTACAATGTGTGAAGCCCATTTCTGGTGTCCCCCGCCGTGATATTGCTGGAATATTGCTAAAAGCGGCGTAAAATCAAACTCACTCACTCACACTCTGGCTGACTTACTGAGATGGTTCTTAACATACCTTTCTAATCTAATGCTGATATTATTTGAATCTATTTGTTGAAACTTAACTACAACACATGCTACTGTACAGCAGTTTGAGCATACAGAAGCTCATGTCACCAATCCTTTTTGAAGGACTATTTTATTCTGCGACACATCTTGTTGATGTATGAACGTCAGTGTAAACTTAAGGTCAAGGTGAAAGTGGGTATGCATGATCCTTCGAGGTATGAAATAATGATGTGAAAAGTAATGAAAAATGACACTCGCTTTGGGTAAGTTTCTTTTGAGTATGAACCATCATAGAGTGGGGGCCAAGCATTGTGTGAACGTCGTCGTCATTGATGATGACGTCACGAACTGTTTACATGACGTCACCTGAACAATAGGCTGTCTTCAATGAAGTTATATTGCCATACGTTTTTCTTCGTTTTGTCACATGTCAACAAGTTGTATATATAATAACGTACTTGAAACTCGTAATTGCGGATTATCGGTCGCCAAATACTCGGGATTAACACCATTCTTTCAGTGGAGATAGTGAATCCGTTATTCCTCGTAGCCCGATGGTTGGTCTCTAATAAACCACATGACGCGTGAAATTTGAAATATCCTCTATATTTGCAACAAGTCTCACGGGCGCGCAGGTTTTAAGCCACGCGCCGATTCCCGGGAAACACTTTTCCAATGTTTAAGCATTACTGACGAGAACGTGAAAGTATAATTACAGGTGATTTACAGAATACTAATGATTCGTTAATCCTAATAGTGGTAATTAAGAGCAAAATGGAAAGTGGTAATATAAGGATGGTGCTATTGAAGTTGTATCTGGTTCCACATATATAGGAATCTTGTCACACAAGGCTAAGTGCATGCAGATCTATTTCAAATGGGGAAACACGGCAATGGAATCTCATAGCTGTGCTGAACAGAATGTGAACGCACGGTAAACTACCGCTTCATATCTTATTCTAACTTTGATACCCAAGTCAAACCGCTTCTTCTGTAGGGGTGTGAGGTGTAGGTCAAACCAATTCTTCTGTATGAGTGTGAGGTGTAGGTCAAACCGATTCTTCTGTATGAGTGTGAGGTGTAGGTCAAACCGATTCTGCTGTATGATTGTGAGGTGTAGTTCATACCGATTCTTCTGTATGAATGTGAGATGTAGGTCAAACCGATTCTTCTGTATGAGTGTGAGGTGTAGGTCACACCGATTCTTCTGTATGAGTGTGAGGGGTAGGTCAAACCTATTCTTCGGTATGGGTATAAGGTGAACGTCAGTCAAACCGATTCTTCTGTATGAGTGTGAGGTGTAGGTCAAACCGATTCTGCTGTATGAGTGTGAGGTGTAGGTCAAACCGATTCTGCTGTATGAGTGTGAGGTGTGCGTCAAACCGATTCTTCTGTACGGGTATGCGGTGTAGGTCAAACCGATTCTTCTGTACGGGTATGCGGTGTAGGTCAAACCGATTCTTCTGTACGGGTATGCGGTGTAGGTCAAACCGATTCTTCTGTATGGGAGTGAGTTGCGGGGAGACGAACAACAATGTGATAGCTTTCGATTCCGATTCCATCCTCACGGAGGCCATGGTCTATGGGACAAAGACGTATCATATCACATAGCTTTAGGTGAATGTTGCCGGTGCCCTCTATTATGTAACAGTGCTGTTAAATGTATCACATATTGGCAGTGTCCCCTACATAATATTAAATTATTATATAACACATCACCACGAGAAACTAACCAGTCTCGATACAGAAACCATGGAGGTCAAGGTGAAATAGCGGGGAATTGTATATGAACAGATCAGTGGTGACACCGGGTGTCCGCCGGGGAATACATTACCAGGTCAAGTCTAGAATAAGCTATAACCTTGATATGGTCGGTGGAAACAATTGGTCAAGTACGTATATAGTATTTAAACAGGTGTTGCGCCAGGGCACACCCAGATGTCGGCTGTATACCAATGCACATCTTAACGTCTTTCAACAACGATTTAGGAATATTATGCGCCAGGAATGGTCTCGCATAATTTCTTTAAGTTCTAGTTATGATACATATATTCAGTTTTGAGTAACTTTAGATGCAGAATGATATCTAACTGTCTGAAAGTGTAAATTAGCAAACTTTTGTGCTTGTGATGGAGGTGGGCGAACGCAATTGACAACACAACATTCCTAAATCACATCGCCTGAGTTCTGTTGTAAAATTGAGGATATGTACCGTTAGTGTATCTAGTAAATATCTTATCAATATATCAGCTGTACGAGTACACAAGTGACGTCATCCCATTCCTCGATGTAGCTGTCAAAACCAGAAACTGTAACCACTGGTGTACGCTATGTAGTTAGCACTCTGTGTCAGCTTTCATTTCGGCTTAAGTGTGAGTGAGTGAGTTGTGTTTAACGCCGCCTTGAACATTATTCCAGTGATATCACGGGGTGTCAGCTTAATGTGGGAGGAAAGCTCAAGTGTGTCATGTTTCAGACGTTTACCACTTCGATGAAACCCACGAGCAGCGATGGTGCTGACAAATCTTGAAACATAATAGGTGCGAACCGGGATTCGAACCCACGATCATAGGTTCCTGGTGTGCCCAAAGGACGCAACTCGGCACATAGCTGCGCTAAGATTGTCTAACAATAAACATGATTGATAATTTTAGTGTGTATGAGTTAAAGAAACATGTCAGAATGTAACAGCTCCAATGTTGTTGAGTGTGACATTCAAAACGGATCCTTTTTGTAGCCACCATCTTCCATTTGGTCGTCATCATGTACAGAAAATGTAATGACGTGAAGCATCCCCATTCGTGTCAGAATCTAACACAGTGATCCCAATCTAAACTATTGATCTTTCAACTGCAAAACATTCCGATTCCATGCAAACGGAGGCCATGATCCATGGTATAAAAAACATATCTATCACATGTCATTGTATAAAGATAGTATTACCTTCAAATTAAAGTCACTGCCCGCTGGCTATGATCACGGCGTTAAGCTGATTTGATGAGACGTATTTTGTACATTGGCGAGTGTGTCATAGTTTGTTACCAATACAATGTTTGATTTGGAGCACAGTAGTTTTCCAATGTAACTGAATGTGCTGGAGTGAGTGGCGGAACATACGTGACTCCTTGGTGAACCATTCTCAGATAGCATATCCCGGCTTACACACATCTACAGTTTGGTGAAAGCTTTATATAGCTGCCATAGCTTTCTTCTAACACCAAAGAAGACGTTAGGAATAATTCCCGAAGACGAAAACGAAAATCTTTTCAAAATAATTTTGCGGTTGATGGGGATCAACATATATGAATCTTTAACAGGTTATCAAGTCAGTGAATATTGTAGGGTAATGCCAAGTGTTCCCAAAGGAGGTCGACCCGTGCTTGTCGTAAGAGGCGACTAACGGGATCGGGTGGTCAGGCTCACTGACATGGTTGATGCATGTCATTGTGTCCAAATTGCGTGGATCGATGTTCATGATGCCAATCACTGGATTGTCTCGTCTAGGCTAGATTGTTTATAGGCAGCCGTCATATATCTGGAATATTGCTGAGTGTGGCGTTAAACAACAAACAAACAAATACAACGGAAGTCGCCCGGACAGTGGAGGTTCGGAATAACGGGGTCAGGGCATTGGAGGTTCGGAATAGCGGGGTCAGGACATTGGAGTTTCGGAATAACGGGGTCAGGACAGTGGAGGTTCGGAATAACGGGGTCAGGACAGTGGAGGTTCGGAATAACGGGGTCAGGACATTGGAGGTTCGGAGAAACGGGATCAGGACATTGGAGGTTCGGAATAACGGGGTCAGGACAGTGGAGTTTCGGAATAACGGGGTCAGGACAATGGGGTTTCGGAAAAACGGGGTCAGGACAGTGGAGGTTCGGAATAACGGGGTCAGGACAGTGGAGGTTCGGAAAAACGGGGTCAGGACAGTGGAGTTTCGGAATAACGGGGTCAGGACAGTGGAGTTCCGGAATAACGGGGTCAGGACATTGGAGGTTCGGAATAACGGGGTCAGGACAGTGGAGTTTCGGAATAACGGGGTCAGGACAATGGGGTTTCGGAAAAACGGGGTCAGGACAGTGGAGGTTCGGAATAACGGGGTCAGGACATTGGAGTTTCGGAATAACGGGGTCAGGACAGTGGAGGCTCGGTATAACTGGGTCAGGACATTGGAGGTTCGGAATAACAGGGTCAGGACAGTGGAGGTTCGGAATAACGGGGTCAGGGCAGTGGAGGTTCGGAAAAACGGGGTCAGGACAGTGGAGTTTCGGAATAACGGGGTCAGGACAGTGGAGGTTCGGAATAACGGGGTCAGGACAGTGGAGGTTCGGAAAAACGGGGTCAGGACAGTGGAGGTTCGGAATAACGGGGTCAGGACATTGGAGGTTCGGAATAACGGGGTCAGGACAGTGGAGGTTCGGAATAACGGGGTCAGGACAGTGGAGTTTCGGAATAACGGGGTCAGGACAGTGGAGGTTCGGAATAACGGGGTCAGGACAGTGGAGGTTCGGAATAACGGGTTCAGGACAGTCGAGGTTCGGAATAACGGGGTCAGGACAGTGGCGGTTTCACTGTAAATCTGAAGCTGTAGGAAGGTGTAGGCTGAGGTCATTAATACCAGGACCGGGACCTGGTAGGCCAATGTAAGTGTATAACCGATGTTTGTATGCATCAAGTTGTAAGGACATGAAATGTGATCACGTCAAGAACCGGCAACATATGGCAGGGATGATAGTTCTATATAATGTGAAGTCCCCTGCCATGAATGTGCTGCTCAATTAACCAACTGACGTCAGCAATGTCGGTTCCAATGCCTTGGCCTCATAGCTACTACGGTGTTATGTCAAGCCTCATAGCTACTATATTACCATGTCAAGATGTACCAACAGATTGAAATTTGTTTATGCGCAGTACCGACATGCCCCCGTTTCCAACAGTCAACCATACAAGTATCATACACCTAGTCACTGATTTCTCACTGATTAACGCTGAGGCTGCAACGGGTCTCATGTTTCTGACGACTTCAACTTTCCAATATCCACTTTCCACCAGCTCCAACTTTTGGTGTCTCCATTTCACAAATTCTGATGTACATTCGAGCGCGCTCTTTCTATTCAGATTTCAAAGAGTGAGAGAGTGAGTATGGTTTTTCGCCGCTTTTAGCAATATTCCCGCAATAAAAGTGTGGAACACCAGACATGGACTTCATACATTGTACCCATGTGGGTATTCGAACGAGTCTTCGGCGTGACGACCACTTCAAAGAGCGTCATACAACTCTTGCCTAAATAGTTGTTTTGTCAAGGTTACAGCATTGAAGGCATTAGTATAGCTTTCAAAAGGTTTCATGGTAGGCAAGTGGAGGACTTTTCCAAATCTGACCCATCGGTGACCAGGCTGATGTCCGATGCAATTCCTGGGTTGCTGAAGACCAATTCTAACCCGGCATCTTCACGGGTCGGCAAATTATTGACTTGCCTTTGCATGTGTTTGTGACGGATCCCACCATTGGGGCAGAATACGCTCACCTTTTCGCGAACACCTGGTATTATCACTTTTGACAGAGGTTCATAACCACATGCTAATGATATAGTCGGAATCGTATAATGGACTCGCTGTTATTTACAATGGAGACGGCAGACGTTCAGACAAGTCTAGATGCTGGAGAATGTATCTGTCGAGATGTGACACCCAGCGGATCGAGTTTTTCAGTTTTTCATTTGTCAAAACTCGCGTGAGAACATTTTATTGTCAGACCATACACGGCAATGTCGGTTTATTCTTGTGATGAACGACTTCTGAGAAATGTGTGGGAAGTTTTCAAACATTTAAAAAATACTTGTCCAGTGTGATATCGTGACGGTCGTTTTCCTACACGACGTGAAGATGACTTTGAAGATGATAACTTTAATACACCCAAAAATGTAGCCAACCCATTATTCAACAAACCCAACAATACATCATCTTGAATCAACCAACCAATTTGCACCATGCGTACGTCAGGTAGTGTTGATGTTTGCACCACGCGTTCTTCAGGGAGTGTTGATGTTTGCACCACGCGTTCTTCATGGAGCGTTGATGTTTGCACCATGCGTACGTCAGGTAGTGTTGATGTTTGCACCACGCGTACGTCAGGTAGCGTTGATGTTTGCACCATGCGTAGGTCAGGTAGTTTTGATGTTTGCACCACGTGTACGTCATGTAGTGTTGATGTTTGCACCATGCGTACGTTAGGAAGTGTTGATGTTTGCCCATGCGTACGTCAGGTAGTGTTGATGTTTGCCCATGCGTACGTCAGGTAGTGTTGATGTTTGCACCACGCGTACGTCATGTAGTGTTGATGTTTGCACCATGCGTACGTCAGGTAGTGTTGATGTTTGCACCACGCGTAGGTCAGGTAGTGTTGATGTTTGCACCACACGTTCTACAGGTAGTGTTGATGTTTGCACCACGCGTAGGTCAGGTAGTGTTGATGTTTGCACCACACGTTCTACAGGTAGTGTTGATGTTTTCACCACGCGTACGTCAGGTAGTGTTGATGTTTGCACCACACGTTCTACAGGTAGTGTTGATGTTTGCACCATGCGTACGTCAGGTAGTGTTGATGTTTGCACCACGCGTACGTCAGGTAGTGTTGATGTTTGCACCACACGTTCTTCAGGTAGAGTTGATGTTTTCACCACGTGTACGTCAGGTAGTGTTGATGTTTGCACCATGCGTATGTCAGGAAGTGTTGATGTTTTCACCACGTGTACGTCAGGAAGTGTTGATGTTTGCACAACGCGTACGTCAGGAAGTGTTGATGTTTGCACGACGCGTACGTCAGGAAGTGTTGATGTTTTCACCACGCGTATGTCAGGAAGTGTTGATGTTTGCACAACGCGTACGTCAGGAAGTGTTGATGTTTGCACAGCGTCCACAACAGTGAGACCCAACGACTTCACTCCATTGATTAACATGACGTCACGTACGCTGTATGACATATGTCACCGTGACATACGGGCACTCTGCATAATGTATATATAATTTTAATGCATTATAGCTTCTTAACGACTGTATTTCTGTTCAGTGTTGAGTTATACATACATGTTTTTGCGAACACCTAGTATCATCACCATTTGATAGTGATTCATAAACACATGCTCGTGATACAGTCGGGTGAAGTCGGAATCGTAGAGTCTACTCTGCTTTCAGCAGATACATGTATTTCTATTCAATGTTGTCGCTTGTCCTATGTGCCTAACAGCTGTCCTTTGTCCAACACAACAATTCATTACTTAACATTATGACATTCATAACCTTAATCAGTTATTCCATGGGCTGTGTCTGTGATCACATCCATAAATCCTCTGTCCAGGGTAGAGCCATTGTCTGTCCGTCTGTCCTTTGTTCTGTATTATTATTATTATTATGGCTACATCTTTCCATTTGTCAGATACTTTAAAATCACAAATGCCACGGTTGATTTCTCCATCCAATGCTTGTTACGCAGCTGGTGAAATGGATTAGTCCCGATTATCCCTCTTTTGTCATACTTTCATTGTGGTTCATAGGATTTAATAGCCACATAAATAATTCAGCAAGGTGTTATGTATTACTACATCAAGGTATTCATTTAACACTTTGGAACCCATTAGTGGAGTGCACCAATGTCTGTACATGTCTTAATGACTGGAGTGCATCCAATGTCTGTCCATGCCTTAATGACTGGAGTGCACCAATGTCTGTACATGTCTTAATGACTGGAGTGCACCCAGTGTCTGTACATGTCTTAATGACTGGAGTGCATCCAATGTCTGTACATGTCTTAATGACTGGAGTGCACCCAATGTCTGTACATGTCTGAATGACTGGAGTGCACCCAATGTCTGTACATGTCTTAATGACTGGAGTGCATCCAATGTCTGTACATGTCTTAATGACTGGAGTGCATCCGATGTCTGTACATGTCTGAATGACTGGAGTGCACCAATGTCTGTACATGTCTTAATGACTGGAGTGCATCCAATGTCTGTACATGTCTTAATGACTGGAGTGCACCAATGTCTGTACATGTCTGAATGACTGGAGTGCACCAATGTCTGTACATGTCTTAATGACTGGAGTGCACCCAGTGTCTGTACATGTCTGAATGACTGGAGTGCACCAATGTCTGTACATGTCTTAATGACTGGAGTGCACCCAGTGTCTGTACATGTCTTAATGACTGGAGTGCACCAATGTCTGTCCATGCCTTAATGACTGGAGTGCACCAATGTCTGTACATGTCTTAATGACTGGAGTGCACCAATGTCTGTACATGTCTTAATGACTGGAGTGTACCCAGTGTCTGTACATGTCTTAATGACTGGAGTGCACCCAGTGTCTGTACATGTCTTAATGACTGGAGTGCACCAATGTCTGTACATGTCTTAATGACTGGAGTGCATCCAATGTCTGTACATGTCTTAATGACTGGAGTGCACCAATGTCTGTACATGTCTTAATGACTGGAGTGCACCAATGTCTGTACATGTCTTAATGACTGGAGTGCATCCAATGTCTGTACATGTCTTAATGACTGGAGTGTACCCAGTGTCTGTCCATGCCTTAATGACTGGAGTGCACCCAGTGTCTGTCCATGTCTGAATGACTGGAGTGCACCCAATGTCTGTACATGTCTTAATGACTGGAGTGCACCAATGTCTGTACATGTCTTAATGACTGGAGTGCACCAATGTCTGTCCATGTCTTAATGACTGGAGTGCACCCAGTGTCTGTACATGTCTTAATGACTGGAGTGCACCAATGTCTGTCCATGCCTTAATGACTGGAGTGCACCAATGTCTGTACATGTCTTAATGACTGGAGTGCACCCAGTGTCTGTACATGTCTTAATGACTGGAGTGCATCCAATGTCTGTACATGTCTTAATGACTGGAGTGCACCCAGTGTCTGTACATGTCTTAATGACTGGTGTGCACCAATGCCTGTACATGTCTTAATGACTGGAGTGCACCAATGTCTGTCCATGCCTTAATGACTGGAGTGCACCCAGTGTCTGTACATGTCTTAATGACTGGAGTGCATCCAATGTCTGTACATGTCTTAATGACTGGAGTGCACCCAGTGTCTGTACATGTCTTAATGACTGGAGTGCACCAATGTCTGTACATGTCTTAATGACTGGAGTGCATCCAATGTCTGTACATGTCTTAATGACTGGAGTGCACCAATGTCTGTACATGTCTTAATGACTGGAGTGCACCAATGTCTGTACATGTCTTAATGACTGGAGTGCATCCAATGTCTGTACATGTCTTAATGACTGGAGTGTACCCAGTGTCTGTCCATGCCTTAATGACTGGAGTGCACCCAGTGTCTGTCCATGTCTGAATGACTGGAGTGCACCCAATGTCTGTACATGTCTTAATGACTGGAGTGCACCAATGTCTGTACATGTCTTAATGACTGGAGTGCACCCAGTGTCTGTACATGTCTTAATGACTGGAGTGCACCAATGTCTGTCCATGCCTTAATGACTGGAGTGCACCAATGTCTGTACATGTCTTAATGACTGGAGTGCACCCAGTGTCTG